TTGGGGCGGGGTTTACAACAGTACCTAACGTGGTCTAGATAGTCAACTGCTTAGTGTGAGGAGTGTGTCCGATTTTTTGAAAAGTGTCCGATTTGGTTTGAAAAGTGTCCGATTTGGTTTGAAAAGTGTCCGATTTGGTTTGAAAAGTGTCCGATTTAAAGTGAAAATGGTATAACATATCCGGTATTTCTCGTAGATTCTTTGATTCTTACAAAACTTGAAGTATGAACGTGGCTGGTGTTATTGCGGATAACAATAACGTTCGTATAACCATTACTACCACGAACGAGAGCATGTCCTTTGCTCAGTCCATTCTTGACAACACATAGCTGATACCTTTTGCAGCCTGGAAAAGGATCACCCAAGGCAAGCATTCCTTGTATTTCTTACTTTTCAGTCGATCTCGTTCTCCCGACTTCGCTCGAAACGAGGCACTACGTGATTCCTGGGCGGCGCTGAAGGCACAACCTAATAATTTTGATGCTTGGATAATTCTCCTCACGCAGGCTGACCAAAGTGTAAGGGTTGGCTTGAAATTACTCAATTCTCTGAAATGCCAAAAGTGAAAACGGAAAAGAGCTCCTCATTACGGAAAATCGTACATATTTTCCGTATTTTTTATTTTAGCTTTTTAATTTCATTCTTAGCAGCAGTTTTTTACGTTCATTGTCTATATCATTCACATTCAGAACGATGTGAAACTGGCTCGTGAGATGTATGATCGCTTTCTAGCCAAATACCCGTATTGTTACGGCTTTTGGAAGAAGTACGCCGATATGGAACGTCGCCACCAGAACTTTTCTGATGCACTTAATGCAAGTTCCTCTTTTATTCACTTGTATAGATTCTCTGTGAAGTGGTCTCCTAAACACACAGGTGTTACAAGTTTCAGTTTCTCCTAAGAAAGTTACATCGCTCCTCCAACACAGAAATTTCTATGCAAGTGTTCCGAATAATATTCCGAATGAATCCCGTGTATCACTTGAAAGACTCGTGTGCCTGTTGAACATCGAGTTGCTCGAGCGGGCGCTAATGTATCCTTTCGTTCTTTAAACGTGCTAGAGTTGCCCAATGGGTTCCTGGTGCTTGAGGGACGCGACAAACTTCATGCCATTCGTTCACGTTCAGCTTTCCGAAGATGTCTGACCATCGCGTAAGATCGTCCGAGTGTTCGCTTGATATCCCGTGG